ACTCGTGCACCACCATACTCAATTTCTGGAGTTCCAGGGCCAGTATAGCACATGGTACCGGGGATCAAGCCCAGGTCCTTGTGCTTGCTAGGCAGATGCTTAGACCGCTGAGCTACCTACCCAGCTCCAGATTTTAAAGCGATTACAAAATGTCAATTTGTAACTAAAACTCTAAGAATCTTTGTCCTAAGTGTTTTGAAAAGTTCGCCCCTTTTTGTTACAAATACTTATGGTAGTGTGTTTACAAATAAAATATAGCATTTTTTTACCTTCATAAAAAATTAAATTAAATTTATAGATCCTGAGGACCCATGAGTAGTACATATTAACCTAAAATGAAAAAAGACATAAACTAAAATGAGTTAGTAGCTGTAGGTTAAGAAGTGTCTCAAACTAAAAGCACAAATATTTGTCACTTCAAAACATTTTTTTCTTTCTTTTTTTTTTTTGGTGGTACTGGGGATTGAACTTGGGACCCTACATTTGCCAAGTGGGCACTTATTCTACTGAGCTATCTCCCCAGCCCTCAAACATTATCTTGACATTAAAACAAAGCATCAAGTAAATAATTTAAGAAAGAATATTATTAAAAAGTATAAAAGAAATTTAAGTACTAAGGTGAAAAATCAATGAAAGAAAAAGGAAATGCTAATATATATACAATATACTGGAAAACCTAATATAGAGGAAACATGAATGAAGATAACACTAAGAACTAAAACAATAGACTAGTAAGTGGATAGAAGGAAATGGATAAATAATGAATTATCATTCAGTCTGCACCACTACTCAGCCACATCAATTAAAAAAGACACAGAAACAAAGTGGGAAAGGTCTCACAATAGCCAAAACCGACAGCCACAGATTTCAAGGGCTTCTCTCATAATGGAATAATCACTGTAAGTCTTTATCTTAAATAAAATACTCAAAAGACTCATTATGTTTTCTCTGTCGATAGTAGATGAGAAGTAATCAGAAGCAAGGAGAGGTTTCTACAGCTGGTACACTAGTAAACTTATCACATTAGCTAGTTAAGGGACACACAGAGCCCATCACCAACAATAGCAACAAATTAACAACTGAGAAAATACACTAAAACTGATCCTTGCACAACACAAATGTCAATTATTTAGAATGCTTCTGGCAAGTGCAAGGGCTTGAGTTCAAGTCCCAGTTCCACAGAAAAAAATAAATAAAATATTTAGAACACTTATACAAGAATTTTTTTCTTTTCTTAAGATTTTCTTTAAAAAGTCAAAGATGAACTTCACAACTACAAATACCAAAAAAATTAAGGAATGTATGTCATGAATGTATAAAAAATATATATAGAAAAGACTATTTTGTTAATTTATCATAAAGAAATTATAAAGTTAAAATTTATCAAAATTTACAAAAACACAAGATTATACATGGCATCATTTGCAATCAAAAGAAATGTAAACAGATACATTATTAAAACACAGCTGTATAAAATGAACTGTAATATACAACTACTGTAATAATTTCATAGATACCTCCCAATGCTATTACAGTCAGCTCAAGTCCTGTTAGTTCCCATGTATGAACACTGTGTGATGCAGATCACATCCAAGGGAACAGCTTGTTTCTCCACAGAATTACATATTGTAGTACAAAGTGATTTCTCATTATTCTCATGTATTTTCATCATATAAATACACAGAACATACAAAAATATGTGTCAGCTGACCATTCATGGAATTCATAAGATTTTATCAAGAGTAGGATATTAGTAGCTAATTTAGGGGGAAATCAAAAGTTATTTGTTGGTTTTCTACTGGGAAAATCAGCTTTCTTTTAACCCCATGTATAGTCTCAAAATATGACAAGGAACTGTCCAACCCTAAACTTCACAATTAGCCCTATATGTCTAAACAATAATACCATTAGGAGTTAAAGATGTTACAATCAGTGAGTTTTGTTTAAAACAGCAATATTTTAAGGTAGTTCCTGGATGATTAAAATGAAAAAGTAGAGACAGGCTCCAACACTCAAAAAGGTTATGTATGTTCAATATTCCAAAGCCAAGATAGTAGTACAATAAAAATTAAATAGAGCCAAACTATAGTCTAGCCTGGCTAGTGCAGGGTCCTGAGTTCAATCCCTGGTACCACAAAAAAAAAAAAAAAAAAAAACACAGTCTATAATTACAGACAAACTATAATTTTTATCATGAAGATATACCATATTTAAAATATATATGAATAAGATAAACATGCTTAGTGAGCCAGTACAGTTTGTATCGCTCTGTACAGTGCAATGATCTCGCATTCTGAGCACACTACACATCCCATTTGGCTTGGCATGTGTGCTTTCATACCATTTGAATGTTGGCTGTTTTGTGTTAAATAACAAGTTCAAAACCACAGCAAACCCCAGGGCCTGCCCTGCTGGTCCCGCCCTCACAGTGCACTGAGACAGCAATTGAGATTGGGTGTGGTGGTACGTGCCTATAATCCCAGCTCTTGGGAGACTGTAAACAGGCGGATCACTATGAGTCTGATCCAGTAGTGAGACCCTGAACACCCTGCAGACCCTTCCCTAAAATAAAAATAACTGCCCCCCCCCCACACACACACACAGCAAAAAATTCGCAATCAAGGACTGTAGCTCAGTGGTAGAGTACCTGTCTAGCACGCACAAGGCCCTGGGTTTGAAATCCAGTTAGCACAATACAATAAAAACAAAAACTGGTAGCTTTTCCATACTAAACAGCATAATTTGCATTTTTACTAGTTATAGCACTAGTACAGTAGTCATTTTAGGTTTTAAGCAAGAATCTGTACTTAGCAAAATTTTAATAACCTAGTATGTACCAAGTGAGCTAAACCAGTGTAACAGTAGCAGATACCTTATAATCACAGAAATTTAAACTCTAGAGCCATCTAGAAAATGTAGTTATATAATCAGTTTTCCACCATTTTAATTCAGTTGCTACACTAATAAAGATGGAGTGATTTTTTTTTTTTTAAATGTTTTTAGTACAGGGTCTACAAGGTCTCACTACAAAGATCGAACTCGTAGTGATCTTCCTGTTTTCAGCCTCCCAAGTGCTGGGATTACAGGCACACACCACCACACCCAGTCTCAATCATATCTCAGCATGGCCTGGGGCAGGACTGGCACAGCATGCAGGGGATTGTGATCAAACCTCAGTCCCTGTGTCTGCCTAAGCAGGTGCTTTAGTCTGCTGAGCTATCTGGCCGGCCCTGGTGTGTTGATTTTTAATTTGGAATTTTTTTTTATGTGTGTGTGGCCGGCTCAGCCTGCTCCCCTGGGGGGCAGGGCTGGCACAGCATGTGGTGCTAAGGATGAGAATCAGTCCCTAACTTGCCTAAGCAGGCACTTTAGACCACTGAGCTATCTCACTGGCCCTGAAATTAACATTTTTAAAAGGACAAAATTTTAACTTTCTTTTTTTGTGTTTCTATGAAATATAATTTCATCCATACTATCTTTCTCAGAAAAATTCATGCTGAATTAAGAAAGTATGAAAAATTTCAGCCTAAAAGAGTAATATTTTGATACCAACTAAAAAAAACTTCAGAAAAAATATTTAAATAAAACTAATTTTTTTTACCAAAAATATGTTCTACATTGAAGCTGATTTTGAAATGAAAATAAGCAGGTAATACTTTAACCAAATTGTAACTTCAGAATATCTGTATCTCATTTAGTAGTCCAACTTTCATTGCCATAGTGACATGGAAGAAAAGCCACAGAAAACAAATGCCACTATGAAATGATTTCACTAAGAAACTTGGACTTGGAGTAGAATAAGCATTTGCCTGGCAAGTGCAGGGTACTAAGCTCAATCCCCGGTACCACCAAAAAAAAAAAAAAAAGGAAAGAAAGAAACTTGGACTTGAATCTGATCAAGCCTCTGTATCTTTTAATTTAAAAAAAAAAAAAGTAGGGGCACAGAGAAACATCAAAAGGATACAATCATCAAAATCCAGTTTATGAGAAAGGCTACAGGACAAACAACTCAATTTTTTCAACAAATAAATTTACAGAGTAATTTAACACTTTGTTATCACCTGCAACTCCAATCTCATCTTCCTGAAACCTGACAGAGTTCCTATTCTCTACGTGCTTGTATCGCGGCACTGAAACACTGGACTGTGGTTACATGTGCTCTCATTACACTACCAGCACATCAGTGAATCAAAGAGTAGCTTAGAACAGGGCTCTGAATTTGGATGAAATCCCAATGCTGTTCCCTCTATAAATTAAATTCCACCTACTGCTCAAAGGAATTTTGAAGGATTCCATTTACATTTTCCACGTAAAATATGTACATGAAATATACTTTTTCATTTAAAAAAACAGTAAAATATATAAAAAGTATACCAATATATGCCAATGTTTGAGATATTGTAGGTAATAATTATCTGATGACTGAATAAATAAAATCATAAGCAGGAAAATTAAACAGTGTTGAAAAATCATCCTTTGATTTCATCCAACCACATTCTTAAATTTCTCCAATGAAAAGTAAAATGTCAATAAAACAAAAAATAATAACCACAAAAAGGAAAGATAACTGGGTTGGGGTGGAGGAATAAGCCATTAATTTCTAAATTGCTGAGCCTAACCATAAGTCCTAAGGAACAGATTCACTACATCAAATACTACCTAATAAAGAATGGAATAACTTGACTGAGCCTGGTAAAAGCGAAGAAATTTATTTTCTAAGAGTTCTCAATATCTTCAAGCATAGTTTTAATAATATGTAAAACATTTTAATGGTTTTTTAAGTAATAGCCTTACTATTATCAACCTCTTTTATATCAACCAACTTTTCCATCTGAACAGTAGGTGGCATAATGCACATATTCTGAACCAGCTGCTAAAAAGTGGTATAATACTGAAAGCTCGACATAGCATCATCCAAAATTCCAAAAATATTCATTTAAAACTGTTGAAGGGTCCTAATGCAAAGATAAATTTTTTTCAAATAATATGGAAATACTTACATCTCAATTTGTCCAGCATTTTTCCACCACACATGGTTGCTAACATAGCCTTAACTGAAAATACCGTCAACTTGCCTCGGCCCTCACTGCAAAATAAATATTAGAAATAATTGCTCTCTGGAACCACAAAAACAGTCAATGTATCACTACATATTTAGCAACCAGAAAAATGACACCTGCCCTTATAGGTTACAATTTTACCCATTTAAAACCCTGGATTTTCATCTGTGCTAGGTAAAGAATGCTGAAGCTAACCAACATTACCTGGAAATGAGTTTTTAGGCCATTCTGTACAGTATTTCTACTGGCTCTGAAGGCAAAGGTAAAGTGGATGAACCTGAATTATTTCTTATTAATTAAACCCATTATACTTGCACATGAGGTGTTTTTAGGTAATTAAAACTGAGGGATAACCTGGTTTGAATAATTCAGAAAAGTGTCCCTTACATCAGGATGCTATAACAAGAGTTTACTGTTATGTACTAAACAATGTTGTCACGTGGCAACCAAGATTGCATAATATATTTATCTTCCTTTTCACTGTAACAACCTTTGTGTCACCATGTAGGTGTTTACTGTAAGAAGCTTAAGTCTGTTTCAGATCTTCTCAGACACCAGTTCGAGAAAGGAAAGGAACATTAATAAATACCAACTCCTTTTTATGAACTGGAAAGATGAAAAGAAAAACATAAATGAATTACCCAAAGAACTCAGACTACACACCAACAGAACCAAGAACAAGGCTGCCCAGGTGCCCTGTGTGCTGCTCTATCCTTTTGGCCATGCGCTGGTTCTCTGCAGATAAAAAAAAACTCCCTTGCTGTGTGTTAGTTAGGCTATATAAGTTAGCGACACGTGTCTGCATTACTCTCTTACAGTTTGTGTTCATAGTTTGTTAGTGACTTAAAATAAAATATCTTTATAAGAAAAGAAACTGTATCATCTTTGTTTTGAAAGGCAAATGTCCTCCCATTTATATTCACTGATGGTCATAAGAGAGTGCTCCTCTGTTTTCAAGTCTTTCTTGCACAGAGAAAGATCACTACATTTCATTAAATTTATTCATAACACAAAAAACTCTGTAATCAGATAAATAAAATTAGAATGGGTTTTAATCTTTGTTTTGTTTGTTTTCTTGTTTTTTGGGATAGGGTCTCATTAAACAGTTCAAGGTGACCTTGAACTCACTACATAACCCAAGCTGGCCTCAAACTTGCAGGGATTCTGCCTCAGCCTCTGAAATGCTGTGATTTCAGGTGTGCGCCACAATACCGGGCTCAGGATGTGCTTTTTTAAAAATACACCATTCTTCAGAAATAAAGATACTGTTCTACATACAACACAATCCAACACCTAGAAATTATGAGGAATATTCCTATACCAAATATCCATTCTATATATAAGCTGAGCATGGTGGCGCATACCCATAGATCTAGGACTCAAGAGACTGGGGCAGGAAGATTGTTGCAGAATCCAGGCCAGGCTGGGCTAAATAGTGAGTTCAAGGCCAATATGAACTATATAGCATGATTCCATCTCAAAAAGAGTTTAAAGATTTAAATACCAGAGGGACAGCCAAATAGCTCAGTGGATTAAAGCACCTGCAAGCAAGCGCGTGAGCCGGTGGTTCAGTCCTCAGGCCTGCTGTGCCAGCCCCGCCCCTGGGGCATGCTAAGATGGCAATTGAGACTGGGCGTGGTAGCTGGGTATGGTGGGGTACACCTGTAATCCTAGCTCTTGGAAGGCTGTAAACAGGAGGATAACTACAGTCTGATCTAGTATGAGGCCCTGAACACCCTGTAGACCCTTCCCTAAAAATAAAAAAAATAAAAGATTTAAATACCAGAAAGCTGAGGGCCCTACAGATAAGACAGAAGGAATAACATCAAGGAAATGTTATCAGAAAGAATGTTTTTCTTCAGGAACCTACTGACTTCTAAAGTGATCATGGATGGATTACAGATGGTTTTACTAAAGAAAAGAAATTATTATAAAAATAAGTTTAGCTATGTCTGGAGTAATTTGGACACACAGAAAAGTTGGTATAGAAATGCAATTACTTCTTTCTCTTTAGGCCAACTGGGCCCTTAAGAGAAAGTACATTATCTACACACAAAAATAAAAGGAGTAACCAAAGAGGGTAGAAAATAGCTCTCTTCTTTTCCCAAAGAATTTACACGTTTGTTATGGTTTATATCTAAAATGGCCTCCACAAGTTTCATGTGTTTGGAAAGTAACTGGATCATGGAGACACTATATTCCTGCTTTAAATTGCAAATGTCAGGTATTTTGTTCCAGTAATAGGAAAGTGACTAACACAAAAACTCAAGCCTAAAAATAATGTGCCCAAACATCCATTCATACTCATTTATTGCAGCATGTTTCTAGTAGCAAAAACTGGAAATACCCAAATGTTCACCAAGAGAAGACTGACTATATTATCATAAAAAAGTATGAGAAGCCAGGCGTGGTGGTGCACTTCTACAATCCCAGCATTTGGGAGGCTCAGGCAAAAGGACAGCCATAACTTCAACGCTAGCCTAGACTATATAAGTAAGTTCAAGTCCCGCCTGAACTACACTATGAGACCCTCTCTCAAAAAAAGACACAGACAGAGACAGAGACAGAGGCAGAGACTGAATTATACTGTCATATACTTCCTTATGTACATATAAACCACCTATAAAAGGATCTCAAGTCAGTAACACTGGTTGTCTCCAGAATAAGAGAAGTGAAACTTAACCTAAAAGACATGTCTGTAATCCTAGCACTGAGGGAGGCTGAGTCAGGAGAACTACAAGTTAGAGTACCAACCATAACAACTTAGCAAGATCTCACTTCAAAATAAAAAAATAAGGGGTCGGGGAGATAGCGCAGTAGAATAAGCACTTGCCTGGGGCCTGAGTTCAATTCCCGGTTCCGCCAAAAAGTAAAATTAAATTTAAAAAATAAAAAATAACAGTGGCTAAGGATGTTAACAGCTCAGCAGTAGAGGGCCCCTCAGTTACTATGATCCCCAGAATCATCAAAAAAGGATACATTTCAATTTGTAAATATTAAAAATGTTTATATAAAAAAAGACAGTTCAAGTCAATAATCTAAGCTTCTAATTTGAGACATTAGATAAAACAGAAAATTGCCAAAACAAAAAAACAGGAAAATACATAAGAGCAGAAATCAATTAAATTGGGCCAAGTAGACAGCTCGGTAGCATGTGCTTGCCTGGTAAGCACCAAGTTTGATCCCCAGTATCACATGCCATGCAGGCCCCAGAATCCAGGCATGCCATATTAGACCCAGCACACTTGTTATCCCAGCACTAAGAGAGGCTGAGAAAGGATCACTACAAGTCTGAGCTGCACAGAGAAGCCCTGTGTAAAAACAAAAGAAAAAAAAAAAAAAATCAAGGAAACTGAAACCAAAAAAAAAAAAAAAAAAAAACAAGGAAACAAAAAGCTAGTTCCTTGCATGGATCAATACTGATAAATCTCTAGTGGGGAAGAATGGGGAGAGACATACAGACAGAAATAGACACA